TATCTTTCCATTTATTTGTGTTGTCTTCAGTTTTTTTCATCAAAATCTTATAGTTTTAATGCATACAGCTTTCACTTCTTATTCTAAATTGTTTTCTTCATTTATTTTTCCTAAAAACTGTTATTGATTTATAGAAATGCAACTGACTTCTGTAAAGAAAAGTCACTCGCCCTTCTATATAGTGGCCTGAACAAATGGAATTTGAAATTAACAATGCAACAGTATTTACATTAGCATCCTACCAAATGAAATGCTTATGTATAAATCTAACAAAATATATATATGTATATGACCTATATGAGAAAAATTACAAAACTCTGATGAAAGAAATCAAGAACTAAATTCATTGAGAGGTATCCCATGTTTATGGATAGGAACATGTCAATATTCCCAGTCTGTCAAGGTATCACTACTTTCCAAAATGATCAACAGATTCAGTGAAATCCCAATCAAAATCCCAGCAAATTATTTTGTCTCAACAAAATGATTCTAAAGATTCTATTGAGAGGCAAAATACCCTAGTAGCCAACGCAGTAGTAAATGAGAGGAACAAATTTGGAGGACAGACACTACTCAACTTCAAGGCTTATTCTAAAGCTACAATAATCAAGTCAGTGTGGTATTGGTGAAAGAATAGACAAATAGATCAATGGAACAGAATAGAGAGCCCAGCATAGACCTGCATAAATATAGTCTATTGATCTTTGACAGGTATCAAAAGCAATACAATGGAGCAAAGACAGTCTTTTCAATAAATTGTGCTGGAACAGCTGGACAACATACACACGGAAAAAAATGAATCTAGACACAGATCTTACACCCATCACAAAAATCAACTCTGAATCATAAACCTAAATGTAAAGTACAAAATTATAAAACTCCCAAAAGACAGGAGAAAAGCTAGAGGACTTTGGGTATGGTGATGGCTTGTTAGACACAACCCCAAGGGCATGATCCATCAAAGAAGTAATTGATAAGCTGGATTTCACTAAAATTAAAAACTTCTGCTCTATGAAAGACAATGTCAAGAGATTGAGAAGAGAAGCCACAGAATGGGCAACAATATTTGCAAAAGATACTTCTGATGAAGATCTTTTACCCAAAATATAAAGAGAAGTCTCAAAACTCAACAGTAAGAAAAGAAACAACCTGATTGAAATTTGGGTCAATGATCTTAACATGATTCCTTATCAAGGGAGATTTGCAGATGGTAAATAGGCATATGAAAAGATTCTCCACATCGTATGTTATCAGGGAAATACATATTAAAACAACAAGGAGGTACCGCTACACACCTGTTAGCATGGCCAAAATACAGAACACTGACCACACCAAGTGATGGGGATGATGTGGAGCAGCAGGAACCCTCATTCACTGCTGGTGGGAATGCACAATGGTGTAGCCACGTTGGAAGACAGTTGACGGTTTCTTACAAAACTGAACATACTCTTACCATACAGTCTAGTAGTCACACTCCTTAGAATCTACCCAAAGGAGAGGAAAATGTACGTCCGCGTAAAAACTTGCACGCAAATGTTTATAGCAGCTTAATTCCTAATTGCCCAAACTTGGAAGCATCTGTGATGTCTTTCAGTAGGTGAAAGGATAAATAAAGTGTGGCGCATCCAGACAATGGAATATTATTCAGCACTCAAATAAATTAGCTATTAAGTCTTGAAATGACACGGAGGAGCCTTAAATGCATGTTAGTAAGTGAAAGAAGCCAATCTGAAAAGGCTACATACACGACTCCAACTATATGACATCTTACAAAAGGGAAAGCTGTGAAGACAGTAAAAAGATGAATGGTTGCCAAGGTTAAGCTAGGGTGTACGGTTGAATAGGTGGGGATTTTTAGGGTAGTGAAAATACTCTGTATTATATCATAATGATGGATACATGTCATTATATATTTATCCAAACCCATAGAATGTGCACCACCAAAGTAAACCGTATTGTAAACTATGGCCTTTGGGTGAATATGACATGTCAATGTTGGTTCATCAGTTGTAACACTTGTACCACTCTGGTGAGGGATGTTGATAGTAGAAGAGGCTGTGTGCATGCGGAGGCAGAGGGTATATGGGGAATCTCTGTACCTTGCTTTTAATTTTGCTGTGAACTTAAAACTGCTCTAAAAAACTTACGTTTTAGTAAAACAAAAACAAAACAAAGCAAACAAACTGTTCATCTACGTTGTTGCATGCATTGATAGTTCATTCTTTTTGATCACTGAATAGTATTCTAGTGTCTGTTGTACTGTGTTTGTTTATCTTTCCACTCTTGAAGGATATCTTGTTTACAGTTTTTGGTGATTATGAATAAAGCTGCTATACACATTGACCTGCAATTCTGTGGAAATAAGTTTTCCATTCACTTAGGTAAATATGTGGGAGTGGGCTTGCTGGGCTGCATGCTAAGTGTACATTTAAGTTTATAAGAAACTTGTTTGATGTCTCAACATTTGATTTCTCTTAGTGAATGCACCATAAGCACTTTAAAAATATTTGTAATCTGGGGACCAGTTCAGTGGCATAGTGGTTAGGTTCACACACTGTTAGTGCTTTATTTCTTCTAATCTTGTTTCAAACAAACTGTAGTTTTATTTTTTCTGAAAATATCTTTTCTTTTTTTCCCCTGAAGAACACTTTAACTGATGTAGAGTTCTGAGTTAACAGGTTGTTTTCTTATGGTGCTTAAAAAATGTCATTTCATTGTCTTCTGAACTCCATTGTTTCTGATGGAAAATTAGAGACATATTCACTGGTCAGTCTGATAACTGTTCCCTTGTATGTAATGTGTAATTGTCCTCTGGTTGCTCTCAAGATTTTCTGTTCATCTTTGGTTTTGGTCAGTTTTACTAGGTGTGGTTTTATTTATATATATACTGCTTGGGGTTCAACAAGTTTATTGAATCTATAAATTCATGTCTTTTACCAAATTTTGGAAAGTTTTTGGCTGATCTCTTTATGTATTTTTTTCTATCCTGTTCCCTCTTTCCTCTCCTGGGATTCCAGTTACACATGTGCGTGATTGCTTGGAGACTGTCCACAAGTCTCTGAGAATCTGTCACAGGTGACCTTCAGAAGAACTCTGCAAAGTAGCTTTTCCCTTCTCTAAGGACACTAAGGCACATCAAGGTTTGGTGACCTGTCCAAATTTACACAAGCAACTAAGTGACAGAATCAAGAATTAAAAACCAATCCTTCCATCATAACCCAATGATTTAAATTAGATTCCATTAATGCATCCTGATATCAAATGGACATGTAAATAAATACTCGGGGACAGGGAGAGTGGAAAAATCTACTCTTCACTGTGAAATGCTAATTAGTAAATATAAAAGAAGGAATGGAGTTTGAAAAATCATTGTTTTGCAACCATAGTAGTAATAATGGATACACACAGGAATCATCAAGGAAGGCTAAACTAGTGAGTGAATGTTGTTGAAGAACAGGATAGTTACATATTTTCAAAGTATCTCCCCTCCAGTTCCTTCTCAATTATAATGGAAAACAGTAACCTTATCCTGGAAATACTTGGGAGGCACTGCCTTAACCCAGTGATCAAGTTGACATCACCCACAGTGGGCTTCCTGATGCGATGCTCTGAGAAGGATGCAACATCCCTTCTGCAATATTCCTACCAGAAATGCATAACTTGAATCTAATCATGATGAGACATTGGATAAACCCAAGTTGAAGAATTTTCCATGATATAGGGCCTGTCCTCTACGAAAATACCATCATTAAAAAGAAATAAAATCTGAGGAACTGTTCCAGGTTAAAGGACACTAAAGATACGTGACAACTGAATGCAGTGCATGTTCCTGGATTAGATCCTGGACTGGAAAACAAGTGCTTATAAATATTACTATGACAATTTGGGACATCTGAAAAGGGACAATAGTATTGAGTCGATGTTAACTTTCCTGATTTTGATTATTGTGCTCTGAGTATGAAAGAAAATGTCCTTGTTCTTAAGAAACATACGCTAAAACCTTTGTGAGTAACAAGGCAGAGATATCTACAGTTTATTTTCATATCATTATATATGCAGCAAAAGTGGCAAAATGTTAGCAGTTGGTGAATCTGGAAAAAGGTATATAGGATCTTCTTGTGCTATACCGGCATGCTTTCTCTAAGTTTGAAATTATTTCAAAATAAAAATTAAAAGAGAACAAGTTATTCTGACTTCAACAATCAACATATCACACTTTATTTAGTATAGTCTTTACTAGTCTAACATGGATGGTTATTTCTCTATGCATATTTTGAACATTTCTTGAAATCACTTGTTTCAATGCCCCAGCATTAGGATATCCTTAATACTGTTCGCTCCTGTTTGAAGACTTCTGTTTGAAGATTTCCTAACTGACATCTTTGAAATACAGAAAACTCTCTAAATCTAGGGATTGTGGGATTTGGTCAAAAGTACCTCAGTTTAACTTCTACCACGAACTTTGGCCATCAAGGTAAGAGGAATGGGAGGGAGGGAGGAACGCCTTTATTTTCTTTCGCTTGGAAGAGCTCCCCACTCTTGCTGTTCTTTGCATGTCCCTGGGCCTGGGGGAAGGATGGCTCCCACAGACTATGAGAGACAAATGATAATGTGGAAACATCTTCCTCCATCACCTCCTCAATCCTTCGGCTTTGGGTGTTGAGCACTGGAGTCTGAACAGGAACAGACACCTGTGATCTGCTCACACTGAGCCCTGTCTGGTGCCTGGTTGTAGGATGACCTTATCTCCTGGATGCTCTTCTTTTTGGTCCTTGGGAAAAGTCCCTGGCCAACTTCTCTGTTGACACCTGGGAGACTCAGTCATCCTGGAATGATCACTATCTTTGAATCAAGCCCTGACTTTTCAGCGTTTAAACTATGTCAAAGACTTGCTAAATGCCCTCTCAGTTAGGACTTGTTTAAAAAGGGTGTGGTTATAACCCTAAGCACATTGATTTTGAGAACCCTAAAAAGAAGAACCCCTCAGGGAAAGAGCCCTCTTTGATTTCTCCCAGAACACCTCATTTCATCTTCTCATCTATTCACTTGGTTGCAAGGTGGCTTCCCTTTTGCCTGACTTCATTGCAAGAAATGGAAATACTTGCTCAGTAAATAAGTTCTTTGGAAAATCCAGGATCTCAAACACTGCTCTCCAGGAATCACACACATCAGAAAGACACTGGTCTCTACTTCTGCAGTCCTGGAGATTCTGTGTTTTGATTCCTGTGTGTGCATTACAAACACTAGAATACCTGACTTTTCATTCCCTTTCAGTATCGGAAAATGAGCTGAGTTTTCAGACTACTACCCTCCAGCGAGTCAATTTTAGAGACACTGTCCATATCCAGTGTCATCGTTTCCTGAGTCAATAAAGAAGCCAACACGTGAGTTCCTTCAAGAAAAATAAAGAGAATTTCCAGACTCCAAATTTCATGTGGCAGCTGTGAGTTGGGGCTGGTAGGATCTCTCCTCAGCTCTGGTCACACAGCAGAATATGCAACTTTGAGGTCCCTGTGGGAGGTAGTCAGCCACACTGTCTGGGGGACATCCAGGAAAATCCTCAGGGAGGATTCTGTCTACTCAGCTGCCTCCTTCAGCAGCTCCCCCTGAAGAAACCCCGAAGTCTTAGGAATCAGTTGAGAACAAAGGTATTAATTGTCGCTGATAAAGTGAAAAACCAGCCATCTGCCACCCAGTAGGGAAGCCACTTAAGACAACTTTAGGACAGTTTCCCACTTCTACACTGGACATGTCTGCACATGCAGAAGCTGTAGCACTCGCCCCTGAAACGTTGTTCCAATTTGTGCTTCTACAAGTCTGGCCTGAGAGGGCCTGGCTCCCAAACTCTGCCAAAACTGGCTTTTCTTTTTTTCAGCCAATTTCTTAGAAGAAAAATAATGTCTTGTTTCACTTTTCAATCCTTTGTTGCTACCCAGCCTGAACATTTTTCCACGGGTACTGGCCATTTAGATCTCCCTTCCTGTCTATTGGGTTTCCATACCTTCAGTGCTACGTCTTAATTAAATCTAGGATGAAGAGGAAAGAATGGAGAAAATTAACAATTATTGAGTGCTGGTTACTTGCCAGTGTAGACTATTGAATTCCCAGGGACTCACTTATCCTTACAACAGGTCTGTTATTTCGCCATTTTATAGATGATGATGCTACAGCTTCTGCATGTGAAGAAAAGCCTAGTGTGGAAGTGGGAAATTGTCTTAAAAAGGGTTAGTGTAAAACAGACAGTATATGGTCATCAATGCCACAAGCCATGGCTTTCTGAGAGACGACTCCACTATTTGAAGTAATCCTCCTGTGAATAAAAACACTGTTTCTCTATGATAATAAGCCTATTATAGGAAATCATCTCCTATTGCTAATTTTTCAGTCAAGGTGGAATAATTGGGGTAATTGGTGCTGGTAGGCCACTCTGTAAGGAATTTCTCAGAAACCCTCATGAGATGTTCTCCAGGAGGCTGCACCAGAGGGAATGAGGCCTTGTATTTCTGCCATCCTGCTGTATCCACTGTGGTGGAGTTTAGTCCAGGTACGATGACAAACTGGAAATGTGGGAATGCAAGCGCAGGACCAAACCTCTCCCCTTGTCCTGATCCCATGCGCTTTTCTATTGCTCTTGCTCTGTCTGTGCTAGGGGACTTTTCCTGAAAGAAACGCAGCACAGGAAACACTGTCCTTGGCTCTGAATCTTTTGTCTGCAGTTCCTGTTATACACGGACATGTCCAGAAAATGGCTCACTAGCCATTCTGTTTTCTTGCCCTGCTCTTCCTCCATCCCACCCACTTGGAAGTCAGGTCTATGGAGAGGGGGCGCCCTCACAAGTACAAAGTAACCAAGGGGAGAATTTTATTTTCATCTGAGCTTGGGATTCCCTTTGCAAGGTTGGGAATAGAAATGTCCATTTATCATTCAGAAGTGAATAATGCTGCTCAGAAAAGAGACAAAAGAATTTAAATAGTGTTGTTTATCTTTGGTTTCTCAGCTCTGAGCTGCTGATTACTTTTGTTGGGTGCCTGAGAGATGCTGAGCATTCAGTACAAAGCAAGACAATTTAAGTTCTCAGAGAATCCTCTTTCTTAATTGTATTGGAAGATAGTTTGTCAGTTTCATCAGTCTCCTCCCTCTCTCTCATTTTTAAAGAAACTAATCACTGGTCTCTCCAAAAAAATTACCAAGAGATGAAAAAATATACAGTCTCGGGTTTACTTCAAAACAACACAGTGTGGGTGATGGTTGGGGTATGGATGAATCCTGATGGGGCGTGATTGATGCTGTGCTGAGTGAAGGTCAGGGTTTACTGCACATTCTCTCTACTTTTGTGTGTGTTGAAAATTTCCTCAGTACAGAGTTTAAAAAACAAGTATGAAGGTAACCCAGATCCGGTGGGGGCATCGCGGATTCTGAAGAATCAAGAGATCCTGGTTACAATTTCAAACCAAACCTCCAATGAAGATAGATATTTTGAAGTGAAAATGCTTCTAAACTCCTCCTCTTCCTCTTCTCAATCCAGGTGAGTCACTGTGTGCTTCCTCTCATCCATTGGTTCCACCTGGGCAAGGACTGGAGCTTACCCTCTGATAGGGCAGGGAGTGAGGATTTAAAAACTATATTATTATCGATGACGGGAAATAGGATTGTCATTGAGAGGGAGGGCCAGGTAGGAGACAGCTGGAGAGTTGCTGTCCCCAGAAATTCCTATTTCACTCTCTGAGAGAAAGTGTAGACAGAGACCAAAGACCCTTGGTCTCAGGGATCTCATAACCACCTGAAAATTGCATGAAAATTGTGGTGGGAATGCAAGTGAGGGGTTTTAGGTGGGGGCGGGTGTTGGGTAAGGCCATAGCTTTCTTGAGATTGTCAAAGTTGTCTTGATGCACCGAGGGGACAAGAGAGTCTGAATAGAGTCGGCCCATCCCACTGACTCTGAGGGAAACACTGGAGACACAGGTGTGTGTCAAAAGATTCTGAGACACCAGTGGGAGAGGGTCCCTTCAGCTGTCCTTGTCCCCTCAGCTGCTACTTCAGCTGGGGAAACTTCCTGAGGGCTTCCAGGTCATGTTTGCAGCCTGAAGTGGGGTGACCCTGAGCTAATGAAGATGAAGCTGCAGTTCCCCTCACCTACACAGGCTCCTTCTTCATAGTTACTCACTTTTGTGTCTAATTTTGTATTTATATTTTTGCATTCTTATTACTAAAGAACATCCCCTAGAAGTGTAAACTTTAGCCCCCATAAACCTTGCCTATTTCTACTGTACAGATGTTTCCCACATCTGTACATCTCAGAAGTGGGAGGTAAGTCACCCTTTTTCTGCTGCCCCTAGTCATTTGGTTACCACCCCTGAGGAACTCTTGTTACCAGTTGCTTGTGTGTCTTTCCAGAGATTGATTATGCATTTAAACTCTTACACTGTTCTTAACACAATAAAAAGATTTTTCCCATTTCCATATCTAGTTGCATGATTTGCTGAGAAATTTCATGAAATGTCCAAGGGCACCATTTATTGTCCTTCCAAAAGAACAGTTGTTCAAGTGAGATTCAAGCCAAGGACTTAGTATGGTGGAGACACACCCCACAGTCCTTCATGTTAACAATGGAGCTGTCCAAGACTTGTCATAATTCCTGTAGGACACTTAAATAATTTCTACCCTGATGTTTTGTTTTGATCTTATATTTGCATTGGTTCTGAACAGACAGCCACTACCTGGGTCCAATTCTCTGCTCCACACCCCAATGCCAGTTAACTTTCTCCAACTGTCCCCTCCGTGTCTACTATAGACAGTAGAGAATTATTTCAAAAAGACAAGGTGCCTTGATTGAGTCAATGCCCAGTGGACTTTAGAAACTGTGAGATTCTCCTTCATGAAGGCCCAAATGGAAATACTGCATGTACGGAAATATAATGATGATAATGATGTCTGAGTGTTTATTTTCCTGTGTGGCAAGGGAACTCAGGTGGCTTACATTCCAGTGCACAATTTAAGTGGGACAATTAAAAATAAACAATAAAAAATCAGCATCTTAAAGCAAAGATCCAGATATCCCATTTGTGAGGGATACAGTCAAGCATTATGTATGTTCAGTACTAGTTGTACCCTCAGCTTTTGGCACCTCAGGCAGTAAGGGAAAGAAATGGAGAATGTACTAAACCACCTGGAGAGAAAAACAAATTTTTATGATGTATTTAGGAAAGAATTTAACATGTAGATTTGTGTGTAAATGTCATTGCTTACAAAGATGAGAATTATTTATAACTGTACTCTTGAAAAAATACAAAATTGGTTTTTAAATGACTACTTATTTTATTTTTCAACTTTTGTATGCTCTTAAGTTTGGAATGTGTTTCTTCACAAGATCAAACATATAATTGGATTTGATCTTATAGAGTCTGACAATTTTGTATTTTAATGAGAGTCTATAGGCAAAGGTATCAGACGAGGGTGCATTTTATTTCCCTAGCTGTTTAATCTGTACACAGAACACATCATGTGAAAAACTGGGCTGGACTCAGATGAAGGGGGAGTGAAAATTGGTGGGAGAAATATCAACAATCTCAGTTATGCAGATGACACCTTCGTACTGGAAGAAAGCAGCAATGACATGAAACGACTTTTGATGAAAGTGAAAAAAGAAAGTGCCAAAGCAGGACTGCATTTGAACATCAAGAAGACAAAAATCATGACTACAGAAGAACTACACAACTTTCATGTAGACAATGAAGACATTGAAATTATGAAATATTTTGTTTACCTTGGTGCAGTCACCAATTTAAGTGCAGACTGCAGCCAAGAAATCAAGAGAAGACTGAGACTTGGAAGGGCATCAACAAAAGAATTAGGAAAGATCAAGTGGAAGGAAGTGTCATTAGGGACCAAAGCCAAGATAGTCCACAGCCTTGTACTATGTACGGATGCTAAAGCTGGACAGTGAAGGAGGTTGACAGGAAAAGAATTGATTCTCTTGAAATGTAGTGTTGGAGAAGAGCTCCACGGAGGCCATGGACTGCCAGAAAGATGAGCAAATGGTTCCTAGAGCAAATTAAGCCTGAACTATCACTTGAGGCAAAAATGACCAAACTGAGGTTGTCCTACTTTGGAGACATCATGAAAAAGCAGAAATCTTTGGAGAACACAATAATGTTGAGAAAAGTAGAAGGTAGCAGGAAAAGAGGAAGATCAAATGTGAAATGGATTGACTCCATAAAGGATGGCATAGGCATGAGTCTAGAGAAGCTGAAAAGAGTTGTTGAGGACACGACATTGTGGACATCACACATTAATAGGGTCACCAGGAGTCAGAGCTGACTTGTTGAAACAAAACAACAAAATGAGAGTCTTTACTCCATATATATTTCCTAATGTAGTAAGAGTGAAGTCTACCATATTTCTATTTGTCTCGTCTCTTCTTTGTTCCTCGATTCTTATTTCTTACTTTCTTTGGGATTAATCAAGTATTTAAACTTTCAGAAAACTTAATCTCCTCTATTAGCTTGAAAGTTATACTTCTTATATCATTCTTCACCCATAGCCATCAAATACATTTTCTTTCCACCAAAATAAGCCAGATCCTGCTCTTGGTGCTTATAAATCAAATAACTCAACTTATTTATTCATTTGTACACAGTTATTCTGAGGGTTGTAAACTGAGGCTTAGAGAGAGGCCCTCTGACAATCTTGTCAAAAAAATTAAGAAACATAAGTGAGTACTGGAAAGATATGCTTGTTTAATTTAAAACTGGAACAGTTTTTAGGGAGTACAATGGGACTATTAGGAAGGCAAAGAAACGTTAAAATAAAAGATAATGTAAAAACATAAGTGTAACTACATGAAATGGAAGGTAAATAAACAAGGGAAACTTGAAATATGTAAAACAAAATGTGGAATAAGAAAAGCAGGTTAGCTCAGTGGCATGACTTTCTAGGAGAATTCAAGGGAATTCTCTTTGACTAATTTCCATAGGCAGTGAACTCTCTCCTGTGCTAGCAGGACTTAGTGAAATGTTCCTAATTATTACTATGATCCTCATCACTAGCTATGCTTTGAAAAACATCACAGTAAGTGAACTCTGAAAAGACTGTAAGGGCCATCCATTCCAAAGGTGAATCCCATTTATAATATCCTTTTTAGGTTTCTCCTTGTGCTTGAACATCCTGATTGATGGAGACCTCACCACCACCTAAAACTCTCATTCTGACTTTGGAGATTTTCCATAGGGCACTCTTTGTCATGCTGATCTATTTCCATTACCTTCCACCTAATTTTAACTCATGGGGGATAAAGAACAGATCTAATAACTCCTTATCCATCTGTGCTCATACTAGAAAACTGACAGAATGCCTTCTCTTTCCCAAAATATGTCTTTATATTGTGGTTTTGAGTCCTTGTTAGCATCCTAATTGCTCTCATCTTACTATACTCCAGATTTTTAAATAGGTAAAACTAATCTATATTGCCTGACATCAGATAAGTGGTTACCTGTGGGGAAAAGGAAGAGATCAATGACTGATGGGGGTGTTCTGTGGTGCTGGTGATACTCTTTCTTGACCTGTGTGGCTGTACCAGGGATATGTTAATTTGGTGAAAATTCATTAAACTATTCATTGATGGTCTGTGTGTTTTATACTTGAATTGGAAGAAAAAAAAAACAACCCAAAACTCTGATTGGCGCTGGCCCCGTGGCATAGTGGCTAATTGTGTGGGAATGCAGGTGAGTGATTTTAGCTGAGGGCAGGTGTGGGGCAAGGCTGTAGCTTTCGTGAGATTGTCAAAGTTGTCTTGATCCACCGAGGGGACAAGAGAGTCTGAATAGAGTTGGCCCATCCCACTGACTCTGAGGGGAAACACTGGAGACACAGGTGTCAAAGGATTCTGAGACATCAGTAGGGGGATGTCCCTTCAGCTGTCCTTGTCCCCTCAGCTCCTGCTTCAGCTGGAGAAACTTCCTGAGGGCTTCCAGGTCATGTTTGCAGCCTGAGGTGGAGTGACCCTGAGCTAATGAAGATAAGTTCCAGTTCCCCTCACCTGCGCAAGACCCTTCTTTATAATTACTCACTTTTGTGTCTAATTTTGTATTTATACTTTGCATTCTGTTTACTAAAGGACACCTCCAAATGGTATAAACTTTAGCCCCCGTAAACTTTGCCTTTTTATACTGTAGAGATGTGTCCCACATCTGTAAATCTCACAAGTGGAAGGTAAGTCACACTCTTTCCACTGCACCTAGCCATTCAGTTACCACCCCCGAGGAATTTTTGCTACCAGTTGCTTGTGTATCTTTCCAGAGATTGATTATGCATTTAAACTCTTAGACTGTTCTTTACACAATAAAAGATTTTTCCCAGGCTAGCCTTGGTGAGGCCAAGTGGCTAAATTCACTGCACTCCACTTTGGTGGCCCGAGTTTTGTTCCTGGGTGCAGACCTACACCACTCATCTGTGAGTGGCCGTGCTGTGGCAGGAGCTCACATACAAAAAGAGAAAGATTGGCAGTGGATGTTAGCTCAGGGTGAATCTTCCTCAGGAAAAAAAAAATTACCCGTCTCCATATCTGGTTTCATGATTTGCTGAGGAATTTCATGAAATGTCCCTGGTCACCACTTACTGTCCTTCGGAAGGAAGAGTTGTTCAAGTAACATTCAATCAAGGACATAGTATGGTGAAGACACACCCCACAGTCCTTCAAGTTAAGAGTAGAGCTGTCTAGGACTTCATCGTAATTCCTACAGGATACTTAGATAAGTTCTGCCCTGATGTTTTATTTTGATTTTATATTCACATTGATTTTGAACAGACAGGTACTCCCTGAGTCCCATGCCCTGCTCCCCACCCCAGCTCTCCCCTCTAGGTCTACTACAGACAATAGAAAATTGGGCGGAAGTGAGACACGATGCCTCAATCCAGAGTCAATGCCCAGTGGACTTTGGAAACTTTGAGATTCTCCTTCATGAAGAACAAAAGGGAAATACTGAATATTCGTAAATATGATGATGTTGATGATGACGATGTGTGTTTATTTTCTTAGTCAGCAAAAGGAACTCAGGTGGCTTATATTATAATGCATAATTTAAGTGGGGCAGTTAAAAATAAACACAACAAAAGTCAACGTACTATAGCAGAGATCTAGATACCATATTTATGTGGGATACAGTCAAGCCTTATGTCCAGTAGTGATTGGCTCCTCAGCTTTCAGCACCTCAGGCCATATGAGAAACAAGTGGGGAATGTGCTAAACCACCTGGAGAGAAAAACAAATTCTTATGATGTATTTAAGGAAGAACTTATCATGTAGAATTGTGTGTAAAAGTCCTTGCTTACAAAAATGAAAATTCTTGATAGCTGTAATCTTGAAAAAATACAAAATTGGCTTTTAAATGTCTACTTGAAATACCTCCTAGAGGAAGATTGAGATCAAATAATTAACAATTTAAAGAAGCCCATTTCCTGCAGATCTAAGAAAATGTGGCCTAGGAAAATCCCTTTCCAATAGTCTAAACAAATACACAGGAAAGGGAGTGTCCAGAGGGGAGAGAGCCTGGAGGAATGGGCAGTTTCATGGAGAGCATCTCTCCCACTGACCAGGAATCCTAACCAAGAAAACTGCGGAGCTGCCAATCACTTGTGAAAACCCTATATGTTCATCTATATTCTTACTCAGAATAAATTTTCACTACATTTGGGGGGAAGAGAGCAAAATAAGGGAGCCTGAATGTAGGGCTGAGTTTTCATCAAATATCCTTGACTGGGTTAAGGTTCAAACACAGATTTAGAGCCCAGACTCCAAGTGTCAGAGGCACATGGCCCTGTACAGAATATTTCCCAATTAATTGCTTTACCTGGAAATTAATCTGAGCACCCCCACCTCAGGACCTTTGCACTTGCTACTCTTACCTGGGCTGCTTCCGCCTCACTTCTTGCATGGCTTTTTCCTCAGTGATGCCTGCTCTGTTTAGACTTCCAACCCCCAGCACCTACTACCCTCCACACACATTCCCTACCTCTACTTTCTCCATAGCACAAATCATAACCTGATGTACCACATAATTTATTTATTTAACTTAGTATCAGTCTCCTAAAAGTATAATGAAAATTTCACAACGCATGTATTTTTGTCATTTCTTGTTTGTCACTGCTTCTACTCAGCACTCACACTATTTCTTGGCAAATTGTAGTTTTAATAAACATATGTTGAATGAATGAATCTGAATACATTTTTATTTTCATTAAAGTCATTTTCTACAGGGCCCATCCAGATAAATAGCTATAGAGTGTATCTTCAAATTTGCTAAACAAGTTAGTCTCTTTCAGTGTAAGAGAGGTCTTTGGTTTGTTTTTGTTGAGTTCAATTATTGGTCATTGTTGCTGTTGATGATGCTGCTACAAAACTGTTTACAGACTCCCTTGAACCTGCTTCAGTTCGTACTTCATTAGCCCTAGACACACTCCTAAGAGTCCTTTGTATCTACCATCTCCCAATACCATCCATTTTCTGTGTCTTCGCCCCTCAGTGGTCAGACTTGATCTTCATGGTTAAGGTCAGAGACACTGAAGTGCTGAACTCCTGTGTGGTGGTGCATGGCTGCCCTCGGTGTCTCCTCATCCCCATGCTCTGTGGGAGGGGCAGAGTGGAGCACCTAGAACACAGAAAGGACCTCTCTCTTGCTAATATTGATCATCTCACAGCAGAAACTGCCTACACTCCACAAATGGGGGTGGGGCATAACAGATGTGGTAAGAGGGGGACAAGGTGCTTGTCATCGTTTGGGAGCTCATTCAGCCCTGCCTTGTCAGAGGACATTTGGACTGGAGGAAGGTGTGAACAGAGAGTTATTGAATCACCTTAGAAATGAAAAAATCTAAATGAGAGCAAGAGGGAGAAACTCCATGTAGAACCAATCAGTAGACAATATTGAGAAGAGGGCAAATAATAGCTCTAGAAAATATCCTTCAATTGTTGATAAGTGGATTCCTGACTGGGGAAGTAGAATAATGTAATTCTATTCATTTAAAGATTGGGAAGTGGAATGCAAATCAGTTTCCCCACAGGTGATGTGTGGACAGGCCCAAGTGCCATCTGCAGCCCAGGGCAGAGCAGCAATTGTCACAGGAGAGTGGGTAGCAGCCCTGACATGCTTGTGTTGAAGATTGTTATGCCAGAGCAGGGCAGTGTTGTCTTACAGTGTAGTTTTCTTGTGTTGTTGTTATATTGTTATTCTATTTCATTTTTATTAGACAATGGTTTCAAATTTTCAGAAGTTTAAAACTACCCAAATCATACTGTGAAAATATTTTCAAAACTGTCTCCCCTTCTCACAGTTCCTACTGCTCTCCCCTTAGAGACCATTATCACTAAGTCCTTGGTTGTCTTTCCAGGCATGAAGGTGCATAGGGGTGTGTACACACCTATGTACATAAATTCTTGTTCCCCTTTTAAGGAAAATATAGCATAGTATACACAGTTCTGCAACTTGATTATTTTTGTTAATAATTTCGTTTGGAGATCTTGTCAACACGTGAAGAATTTCCCCTTTTCCTTTTTTTATAGCTTTATGGTGTTCTACTATGTGGATGGATTTAACTGATCCCCTATTTATTGACACTTGAGTAGTTTTATCTTTTGCTATTAGAATAGTGCTGCAATGCATAATCTTCTTCTATATGATTTCTAGGCATGATGATCTACCTGTAGGATAAATAATCAGAAGTGGGATTGTAACATGGATCAATATTTTACCTCCACGGGAGTTATAAGGAAGTGTGGTTGATCATTATACATTTGGGCAAATTTAGAGAAGTGTCGGTTCCACATCACTGAGAATCAGACTTCTCAGTTCCTCACCTGAAACCTAGACAGAGCAGCCACTCCTAATTCACAGTCAGGGAGGGCGGTTCCTAGTTGCAGGTGGAGACTTGAGATGAGCAGAACTACTGTATCGCTAAAGGAATAATAGGCTCGGCTCAGGTTTTGAGCAAAAGACAGCCCAGCTGTATTTCCCTCTCCAGGGAAACTAATGAGTCAGCCTAGAGACTGAAGGAGAGACAGTGGAGGACTCTGGCAATGGGAGGATAAGGTCCCTGATGGCAGGGTTGTGTTCACACCTGTAGCAGCAGAGCCTGATGCACTGAGAGGTTCAGACATTTCTGTTACGTCTTGCCGTTGGGTGGTTTCACTGCTTCTTTTCCTCCCTGCAAAGTTCCCTTCCCATGACAGTTTTCAGCTGGGCAATCTTAAAATTCAACTGATAGGAAGGAAATTATGTCTAATGTGGAAGAGACCACATAAAAATGTAGGTACTTTGGGGGGGTGGGGAGTGGTGTTCAATCGTTTCTCTTCTCCCCGTCTCCCCCCATAGGGTGTATTAGAGATCAACTTCCTCCACCCCACCAAGGTTACACCCCCCCACTCAGCCCTCCTCCCGTTCCCCACCCTCTTCTCCCCCTACTTCCCCAGCCAATGGAGATCATGGATGATGAGACGAAGCTGAGGCTGCATGGGTTGCAGCAGTGCTACATGAAACTGAAGGACAATGAGAAGAACCGGAAGCTCTTTGACCTTCTGGATGTCCTTGAGTTCCACCCGGTTAGTTGTTCAAGGCCCAGTAGGAGCATGAACA